TTGTGATATGCAATAAAAAGTTATAATGTAGTCAACTGCAGTGTATTGTAACCCAGTGTAGTGGAGGCAGTGCATACCATTGTATTACGTTATGTTGTTTATTCTACTATATTGTATTGTGACAGTACTTTTTGCATTACATTACATTACATGTGATCACATATACACTGCTATTCCCACAATCTCTTCCTATCTCCAGGCTCGGATCAGTGGGTGGAGGTGTACTTGGAGTCAGATGGACAGTGGATATGTAAGTTACTATCATACTGTTCACAAGGTTGCCAGTAGCATTGGTAATAGAAAAAACGTATAAAGGGGATGTGATATTTTCTGCTTAGAAACACAATTTTTTCTTCATGGTTTTCATATGTAAGTGATCCCCAGACACCAGTCATAAGGCCATCTAGCTGTTACATCTTTTTTCTTGTAACATAAAATCATGTGTGATATATGTAGTGGGTATCATGGCTATATAATATATGGCTACTAGCATATAATATGTAGAATATTCATTATTTGGTAAAGTTATGGTTCAGGTATGATAACATGGCAGTGTATACTACTTAAAATAAGTCTGGTTCTTTTGCACTAAGAGTTAACTGTTTGTTGTAGAAGTGGCGTTGTTCTGCAATTAAGTGTGTAATAATTCTCTTTGATATATTCCAGGCATTGACTGTGTAAACAAAAGGCTTCCCAAGCCCCATGAGCTGGAGAGAAATGCAACGCAGCCTGTTAGCTATATCCTGGGATTCGAAAATGGTAAAGATGACAGAGATTGAGTTCCATTTTGAATTTGAATTTTTTCAACTAGTCTCATATCAAATAGTAAAATCTATAATAATTTCCAGGTTTCCTTGACAGATATGGCAGAATCAGTATGAAGTACCTTAATCTGTATATTTGCAGCTTTAAGAACTGTTCTGTGAATAGATTGATAACATTGCTTTTTTTTTCAGATGGAAGTGTGAGAGATTTGACACAGAAATATGTCTCTAAATTTTCATCGCACACCCGTAAACTTCGCACTGACCAGGAGTGGTGGACAGAGACGCTGGGGCCGTACAGGTCAACCAACCTCCACAGAGAGATGAGGGAGAATGAACATCTGCAAAGTGAGGGAAAAAACTTGGAATTTAGGACTCTGTCTCAACTAACACAATGGCTTTGTGAGGTCTTCACACCTAACACAATAAAAATTGGCTGAAAATCATACCTAACATCATGCATTGTCACAAAGTCTCTCATTTAACATTTAACACAATATAATGTGACATAGTTTTACAGCTTTATTCTTAAACAGAGAGAGGTTAGTGAGAAAATAACAGTTGTAAGGTAGCAGATAGTCATATTTTATGTACATATACTAAATTTTGTATTTCCAGTGCAGCAACTGAAGCAGCCGTTTCCCACCAGTATAACAGAGTTCAAAAACCATCCACTGTGAGTTCTGATGTTATCACTGATATAAACATTTGCTGAAGATACCACCTTGCTTTATACAGTACTTACTTTCATAATGATAAAGACCTTCAAATGGAAGATCTGTTGAAAACATTTGTATTGCCTTTATCATGAATTTGAAACCAGCATTCTGTGTCAAAATGAAAATCAAGCTTATATTGTTGTGATACAGGCAACACTTGTACTGTGACATCCATCCTTAAATTTCTGTAGAGCAAATGTAATTTCAAGATTTAGTCTTTAATGTAAAGTTAATGAGTTCCTGTGAAAAGCTTTTTTAACTTATTTCAGGTATGCCCTGAAGAGACATTTGCTGAAGTTTGAGGCTATCTACCCTGACACTGCAGTACCACTGGGGTATATCAAGGGAGAGCCAATATATGCCAGACAGTGTGTACATACTGTGAGTGGAGCAGGGCATAATATCACATCTAACACAATAACACATCTAACACAATATCATGGGAACCTATATATGCCAGGCAATGTGTACATACCATGAGTTTGTAGAGACATGTTTAAGCACCATCAAGACACTGGACAAAGCAGATTTGAGATTTTCATTGTTAAAATTAGAAATCATTTATGTTAGCTGCTATTTTCTTGAATGGGCATTATACAACTATAGTTCCTGACATAATTGTTCCCAGTTGATCTCTTACAGTTAACTTGAGTACATAAGGTTGGAAATCAGTTAAAACCAGGCAAACGGTTTCAACGATGCACATTTCATCACACTAATAGTCTTGACCTTTATTCCAGTTATGTTCCAGGCAGACATGGTTGAAGGAGGCTCTGGTGGTCCGCGTGGGAGAAGAGCCGTACAAGAAGGTCAAGGCCAGGATGACCAAGAACAGAGCTAGGACGAACAACGAGGAGCCACTGTTGGAAGTGTTTGGTCGCTGGCAGTGTGAAGACTATATCCCTCCTCCTGCCGTAGATGTAAGAGTCTTTATAACCTTCACAGCTAACACAATGTCATTTTGAGTTCTTCACACCTAACACAATGTCATTGTGAGATCTGTGGGAAGTGGAAGGACTTTCTCTCTCTTTTTCTTTTTCATTAAATTCAAATTTTTTCTAGGTTCAGAATTTTAGCCTATGACAGAAAAGAGTTCTGACATAAATTTGAGTGAACTTTCCAATAAAATTTAACTTGATTGTGTGTAATAAAATCCATGTCATTACTATATTTCAGGGCAAGGTGCCCCGTAATGAGTATGGTAATGTGGAGCTGTTCAAACCCTCCATGTTGCCTGCTGGGACAGTCCACCTACAAAGTAGGTTAAGTCTGGATGTGACATTTCTTTTTAACTTTGACCTCCTACATCAATCTCATTTAACCATACAGTAGCAGTGAGGCTGCTATCTAACTGTATATAAGCTAAGGCAACCCACTACACTGCTGTTTACCTTTAATCTCTTGTCACAGTATTAAATAAGCACTAGATGCATTTCTGTAATAAGACTTTAAGAAAGTTCTCATAGCTAAACATAAAAATCCAAGAATGCAAGGAATAAAAAAATTGTTATTAACTTCAGTTCCAGGATTGAATCGTGTAGCCAAGAAGCTGGACATAGACTGCGCGGCGGCCATGACAGGCTGGGACTTCCACAGTGGATGGGCATGTCCTGTGTAAGATATATAGACAATTGTTATAGTGTACTAAACCTTCACATTCCGTGTTTTGAGAATATAAAATGTTTTTGATATTATATGTATATATGGATAATATTTTATGTAATATATAGCATGATTATATACCATATCTGTTTGATTTAATATATGAGGTGCTGTATTTCAGGCTGGATGGCTGGATAGTTTGTGAAGAACACAAAGACATCCTACTGGCAGCCTGGGATGAGGATCAGGAGGAACAAGAGAGGAGGGAGGCTGAGGTAAGAGCCTGGATCACATAAGGGAAGGGTATTACATATAAAGTACAGTGGGAGGGAGGCTAAGGTAAGAACCTGGATTAAGGTAGGATCAAGAGAAAGAAGAATAAAGTAAGGTAAGAAGAGGAAGGGAGGGGAGGTGGAAATAATTTTATCCAATACTTAATTAAATTTAATTTATCTACGTACAGTTCTGTTTCACAATATAATAAACATACATGTATGTATTATTTAGATTTACAGCTTTAAGACATTTAGAGCAGTTAGATGTACTCTCATATAGGAAATGATTTAATATAAAATTATGTATTTTCTTTATCAGAAAAGAGAAAAACGAGTACTTACTAATTGGAAGACCTTGGTGAAAGGGTTACTGATAAAAGAGAGACTGAAGCGCAAGTACAATCTACAGGTTTGTAATCTGTTATAATATTGTGTTTTGACATAGGTAGTCATATTTCAAATATAATAGAAGTAAAATAATTTTATATCTGACATCAAGGTATAAATCATGAAAATATTCAGAGAAATGATAGAAAGAAGATTTTTTGAGTAAGTGTGAAATTTAAATTGCAACAAATTTTTATCAAATGTATATTTATTATTAAAATACAGAAATAGTGCAAAATTTATACAATAATTTGTATCTTAATTAGCTAAAATGTTTAGGCTGCATTTCCACACCTGAATTCAATAAAACCAGAGTACTTGTACATGATCTTTTTATTTCTTGTCAACAGGCAGCTCCAGACCTGGAAGATGATCCGTCTTGTTCCCAGTCTACAGGAGAGACATCTGGTGGGGAGAAGGCAATGGACGCAGCACTGTCATGGCCGCGGAATAGAATGGAGGAGAACAATACAGCCCTGGATCAAAGTCATTTGTTTCCCTCTGAAAAACTCTGATTTGTTGGATTTTTTACTACCTAATACTTAGTCGTAAAAAATTGTTACTGCTCTTGGTGGGAATTATTTTCTTTCTCAACAGTGTATAGAAGACTATGAATAAACATGAACATGTGGAAATGGCTGGTCACATGCCCAAAAATGAGTTAATTGAAATAAGAAATAATATATTATTGGAGCATTTTCTTTTCTACTCTAAAAACTCAGAAAGTTTATTGTTTTACTAGTTAAATACATGCACAGAACTAGATGACATATTTTAGCTGCCATATTTCACACATCAGATAAATCATATAAATGTTTAGTTCAAAACCCATCTGTTTTAAATGTGGACACTTTATATGCAACAGATGAACAAATGATATTTTTGTACTGCATATTTTTTTGATGAAAAAGAGTCAAATATCTGTTCTTTACCTTCTTTGATTTTAGTTTAAAAGTAAACTAAACCGTAAGAATCATGTAGATACTTTGTCACAATGTGTAGAAGATAATCTATTAGAGCTATATGATTAATAACATAATCAAAATACATTACCTGTGTGCAGCTTATTTTTATGTTGTTTTTTTTTTTTTTTTTTGTTATATAGAGAAAATAAGAAATTGAACCTCTGTATAACTTTGAAACGTGCAACAAACTTAGATCATATGCAAAAAAAAAAAACCTACATGTGAAGGTCAAGTGCAGGTGCCCGTCGCGACCTTGACCTAATTTCTCGTCAGGAAAGTAGACCCCGCCATATTTGTATGGTGCATTCATTTTAGAGTTTTTAGGACGAGTGATACTGCCAATTGCGATATTAGAATTTGTTTAAAAACGTGGGATGTAAGCAGCTCAGTCGTAACAGTGTGTATCCGTCCAATAAACAGTTACCGCGAGGCAGAAGGACAGGTTTGATACGTTCTATCTCTTTCACTTCAGAACACGTGTAATACCAATGAAAGACATTCTTTAATAAATTTCCTTGTGCATGGTTATCTGCTATGGGAGCTCTATAACTGCTTTTGACTTTGAAAGTTTATTTGCACGTCTTAATTAATAACTGTAAATAGTAGCAGCCCAGGAAGTACGTGTTTGGATGATAGTGAAGTAAGATGGCTGGTACCTGGTTCCTGCTCATGTCCGTCCTGGTGATGTCTGGCATACAGACTGCAGCGTCACTGACAGGGTTAGTCTTAAGAAATCGTTATTGAAGCATTTTAAAGTAAGTTTGTTAAATCTTCTTATAATGTAATAATTTATGGTTTTTAGAAAAATCTTTTTTGTGCCATTTGGGAGCGAGATGAGTCTCTCCAGCAATAAATAAATAAATAAAAAGAAGGAAAAAATCAAAAAAATTTACACTTCATCATTTGTCGTTGACTTCCAGCCATGTGTGTACAGCCAGAACAGGTTACATTTCCACGGGTTACCGCCCCAGCTGGCAGGTCGACTTTACCAAATATTTCCTCAACTGTGGATTCATGGGATTTGGCAGGTGTAGCAGGCAAAGGTAAGTTGCTTGAAAGACACCATGTAGTGCAAACTTAAGACAAATTTTTAATGTTTTCTTCTTGGGTAAATATATAGATTGCCTGAACTGGCATGTATACAGTTGGCGGGGAGCGAGAAAGATTTTAAGCATGGCTGTTGGAAAAAAAATATATGTATATATTTAGAGAGAGAAAGACAGTGTTATAATTTACTGATTATGTTTGTTAATTGTTCCAGACAAATGACGCGGCAGACCAGCACTCTGCAGAGATACAGGATGTACAGGTTAGAACAGGTGTGTTGTTCTGGCTGGAAACAGGTGGGAGACACCTGTACTACAGGTAACACATCCACTGTTTACAACATATATAAAACCTGACATGCCATAATTGATTGTCAGTCCTGTCATAACAATTTTCAAGACCCTGTTCAGTCATTCCAAAGGACAGGCAACAGTTTTAATTCAGGAATTTAGAGTCAGTCTGGCAAAAAGTCTTTGGTTTGGCTAATTTTTCATAACTGTCTTTCTGAATCCAATCCTCATCACATTTCAGCAATCTGTACAGGAGGCTGTGGTAGTGGTGGGGAGTGTGTGGCACCCGAGACATGTACCTGTCCACCGGGATACCAGGGACCAAAATGTGACATTGGTAAGTAAGTGACACTGTCAGTGACAGTTTACGTTGACATTGACAGTTGATATTGACAGCAACATTGACAGTGAGTCAGTGACAATGACAGTTGACAACGACAGTGACAATGACAGTTAACGTTGACATTGACAGTTGATATTGACAGTAACATTGACAGTGACAAAAACAGTTGACAATGACAGATGACGTGACAATAAAATGTGAAGTAAGGGACAGAACACTTGCTGGCAGCTCACTTGTTGAAATAAGAACATCCTGGAAATTTGAGATCAGAATTAACTGTTATTATGGTAAAAAAAAAAACTATACCATTAATATTATAAAATAAAAAGCAGATCTATCTTTATTGTGTTACAGATGTCAACGAGTGTGACACCAACAATGGCGGCTGTGCCCACACCTGTACGAACACAGCGGGAAGCTACTCGTGCTCTTGTAACAAAGGCTTCATACTGTCTGGCACACATGGATGTGAAGGTGTGGCAGGAACTGACATAAGAAGAGAAAGTAAATCTAACACTGGACTAACTAAGTTGTTGGCTGCATTCACAACACCAGACTCACTAGTCTGTGGATCAAATATGGCCGACCACTTGAATCCTTGTTGTGTGATTTTGATAAATCTGCCTATTAAGGGTTTAAAAGGTGGGTCGCCATATTTGAGTCGTGGACTCTGGTCAGCATCTGTTGTGATTGCGGCTATCGATTTAAACTGATCCAATGACCAATCTTCAGCATAAAGATGAGTGACGGGCAGGATTGGCTAGTCACATGACAGGTCTAGTGTTAGACGGAGTTTTTCTTCATAAGGGATGTTACACTAATGGATGAATCGGAACATTACTAACCATGTTTAAATTTGGTTGAAGAAAAAATTTGACTGTTGTTTGACACGCGTATTTGTGGTTTGCTTGAACACTTTGATTTTGCTGAAAAAGTTAAAATGAAAAAATGAAAAAAAAAGACATTTTGTTGTCTTGATTAGACTGAAACTGATGAAGTATTCTCTTACAGAGGATTTTGTGGCTGTTAGCACAAGAACAGTTCTGGGCAGGTTGAGGATTCTTGATGCAAAATATCCATATTCTTCTGACCTTAAGAACCCAAAATCTGCACTTTACAAGCAGTATGAGAGTATTATCAAACAGCAGGTATAGTATTGTAATGATCTTTATTTATTTTATCAATACAATGGGCCTGTATAGATGAGTTCTAAGTTTAATTTGTTGATGTCTTAAATGTGTGACCTATCAGATATTTTTTTTCATTCATCATTCTTGTTTAACAAGAGCCCTTGCTGTCCTTTAAACACTTCGTAACACTTAGGGCGTATTCCCATAGATTTAAGATCGATCTATCCCTGTGGGGAGTCTCACTAGATTACTGTCAGATAATCCGGCTTAAATGTCCATCCCGCCTACTACAAGCTGTAAGGAGGTAATTAACTTTCGTGCCTGCTCGGCTGACAGCTATTTAGGGTGAACCCCCAGGGAGTTAGGTCGATCTAGTTTGGATCGATCTAATCTCTGGGAATGGGGTCTTAGGTTCTGTATTCACAAAATATGATACTTTTAGTTGAGCTTTTTTCCTTCCGCATATACTTTGGAAATAATTTTTTTTCTGCTACTTAATTGTAAGTGAAACTTATTTCATATTAAAAAGCAAATTAGAATAAGTATTTGTGTGTATGAGGAGATATATGTTTGCAAAAGTCTTCAAAAAAAAAAAAGAAAAAAGGGGATAATAGCTGAAGAAGCGTGGATTTTCACGTTTCCAGATAGACAGCATTATCATGGGGAGCAAATTTGGATCATTTTATGACAGATCTGAAATAACGGGCTTCAGGTAGTGGGTCAGTTGCCATAGTAACACTGACTGACACGTCAATTGTTGTACATGTTATTATTTTTTTTCTGATGTTTTCAATTTGTTTGGATGTTAAATCTAACAGTGTTTTAATGGACTTTTAATGAATTTATTTTTCTTTGCAGATCTTGATTTAACATATCACTTTTATGTTGTCAAAATTTCAGGTTTCATATTGATCTGTTAACATGTTTGAATTTTTTTGACAGTCACATGCTCATTAAAGTGATAGAAGAGCAAAAACCTTTAAAAAAATGATAGTTTGCCAGTATTTTCATTAAGTTTCTTACTTTTCCAGCCCCAATGCACCTTCCCCCTTTTTTTTTTGTATTTTACCCATTATCATATATCATATACAGTGGTAAAATAAATTCTTTAAAGGCATACATGAAATTTGTTTGCTTGTATGGATATATTAACTTCATCAATTATTATTCACTAATTAATTCCAACCATGTGTGTAATAAATATGATGACTAAGGATAATATTTGTATTTATATTTTATATAGTGATAATGAAGTCAAGGCAGAGTTTGTCATGTTCTTCCGCGGAGACGTCCTGACAACACAGCAAACCAGTAAGGCAGGAAACAGCACTTTAAGAGACTTAATGAACAACTTTATAAACCGCACTAAGATTGGACATGGCCTTGTTCTTCTGGATTCTTTTAGAATTTTAGAGAATGCGACTGAATTGTGGGCAGGTAAGAATGGATATGGCCTGTGTTTTATGACCCATCACATGTCAGCTGCTTTATTTACAAGAATCTGTGCATTTCTACTCTTTACATCTGAGCTTGCATAAAATTTAAATAGTAAATTATTGTGTAAAGAGAAGGCACAAACAGAAGAACAAACATCTGCCACTGAAAATAAGATTCCACCACAAGATTTAGTATTATCTACAAATAGTTATCAACATTTTTCAAGTTGATATATTCCTGTCTCCTTTTCCAGGAGAGCAGACCCTATCTCCTGACTCAGGACGCTGTACAGACTGCCAGGCGGGATACTACTGCACTCTCACCAAGGAGACCCCCTGCGGCAAAGGAAAATACAGTAAAGAGGGCGCAAGCTCCTGTGACTCCTGTCCAGCTGGGTATTACTGCCCACTGTCTAGTACCTCTGACCCAGAGCCGTGTCCAGCGGGGACGTTCTCCCAGCCAGGCGCTGTGATATGCTCACCCTGTCCAGTGGGGACTGAGTGTCCACTGACTGCCATGAGTTCTTCTTCACTGTGCCAGAATGGGACATACTCTGACAGCAAGGGGACAGTGAATTGTGATCTTTGTCCTGCAGGTAATAAAACCCTTATTAGAATGTGATGTTTTAGCCAAAAGAATGAATTTAACCATAGTCTGGATAACTAAGGACTGTGACATTGCAAGTTTGTTGTTAAGTAGAGAAGACAGTATGCTATTTTAACCATTTATTACTATTCGAAATTAATAACACGAAAAAAAATGTAATTTTTTTGTTTGAAAGGAGTAATACACTGAATCCTGTTGTGAAAATTTTAATGCATGTTCAGAAATTGTATTACATGATGTAAGTCTTTCAATTTCTTTTAAGGTAAACAGTGTGAAAACCCGTCAGAGTCTCCAGTGCCATGTAGTGTAAACACCTACAGTCTGGCTGGGTGGTCAGTTTGTATTCAGTGTCCACAGGGTCACTACTCTGACTCAAAAGGGTCAACTTCATGTATACCATGTCCAGCCGGTCATGCATGTCCAACCAGCACAGAACCGCAGACTCTCTGTCCAGCTGGCACCTACAGCCCAGGTGGACTGTCAGCATGCTTGAATTGTCCAGAAGGACACTACGCTGATTCCAAACGGTCCGCTGCTTGTGCCCCGTGCCCAGCCGGTCACTCCTGTCTTAACAAATACGACTCCCCGGTGTTGTGTCCAGCAGGGTTATTCAGTACAGGAGGACGGACAGAATGTCTCAACTGTTCAGACGGAGATTACACCACTGATAAAGGGTCAAAATCCTGTACTCCCTGTCCAGCCGGCCACTCTTGTGTTGACCAGGGTAACCCTCCTGTCCCCTGTGGTCCTGGGCAGTACAGCCCCGGGGGGAGGAAGTATTGTGCTCAGTGTGGGGTGGGGCAGGTGAAGGAGACCCCAGGGGCTGGCAGCTGTGAGGCCTGTCCCCCAGGGTATCAATGTCCCACTGCTGCTACCAGTAAGTGCCTTTGGTCATATTTGTGCTAGTATTAAAAAAGAATTCAACCTCTGTTTGCAATATACATTCATGTCTCTCTTATATATAGTGTGAGAGGCGAAGAGACCATTACAGGATTAAGAAGTCATCTTTTCACGTAGGTCTGCCATATTTAGGTCCTGGCCTAGCCAGCACTCGGATCTTATCATTCTGAATGGTCCCATATATAGCGTACTGTGGGCAACTTCACGTGTAACAATTTCAGTCATTTTCTTTTGTATTGTTATCATATAAATATTATATATTATTTTCATTCATTTGTATTATTACATCATTAATCCTCCCCTACCTGTGTATTTCCAGAGGAGCTATGCCCAAGTGGTCACTACTCCCCAGGGGGTCTAACCACCTGTGTCCCATGTCCAGCTGGTCACTCCTGTCCCGTAGCAGGCAGCAGCGCCCCCTCTGAGTGTCCAGTGGGATCATACGCGGCCGCCATGAGCAGTACCTGTACCCCCTGTCCAGTTGGTCACTACTGCCCGAACACCACCATGGTCCAGCCCGTCCAGTGTCCGGAGGGACATTATCAAGTGGACACTGAGGGGGTGAACTGTACAGAGTGTCCACCAGGTGATTGATTTGGTGTCCTGAGATGAGATTTATTTTAAATCATTTTTGCAAGATTTTTAAGGTAAAATTTATACTGTGACTAAAAATCTGTTAAAATATGACATTACTTTTAACATTCAGTAATGCAGTAGTGCATAGCTTAAAAAAGCATGATCAAAATAATCACAGGTACTTTGTTCTATCACCAGATATTGGGTAAGCTGTATTGAGAAAATGTATTTGAGTGAGTTAAACTTTAATTTTTTCTCTAATTTTCTTTTCACCCCCCTCCCCCTCTCCAGGTCACAAATGCCCCAGTATCTACTCCCCACCTCAGTCCTGCTCTACTGGTCAGTACCAGAACCAGACAGGAATGTCCAGCTGTCTCCAGTGTCCACAGGGTCACTACCAGACAGACACAGGGGGTGTAAGTTGTACTGAATGTCCACTAGGTGAGAAATTGATTTGATATCATGATAATAGTTGGTTAAGCATGAAAAGTGATATTTGGTTGATAAACTGTTGGGATGGTTTTAAGAATCATATTTGTATATCCATTTTAAGAAATTATTTATTATAATTTTCTTATTATTAATAAGTATCTATGCAGACATAAGTAAAATGGAAAAGTGTTTGCTAATTAAAAGAAAAACTAGATCCTGAATCTGACAATCTTTCTTTAGTTCTGTCATTTATCATTTCTCAACACTGCTGAAACTTGACCAAACTGTGCCTATTTCTTTGTCAGAGTATGGCCTTGTTATTTGGTCATCTGTCAACACCACTTACATCTAAACCCAATCTAATTCTGTATCTGAGTGTTACCTACTTGTTCCTCTGCCCCCCTTAGGTCACAGGTGTCCAAGCACAGACACCGTACCAATTCCCTGCACCAGCGGTCAGTTCACCAACCAGACAGGGATGACCAGCTGTCAGTCATGTCCAGCAGGTTACCAATGTCCAGACGGCTCCTCTCTGTCCACTATATGCCCACCTGGTCATTACTCCAACCCTGGCAGCAACAGTTGTACCATATGTCCTACTGGTCACTACTGTCCAGATGTGGGAATGGTCCAGCCTCTACAGTGTCCAGATGGTTATTACCAGGCGTCCACTGGGAGTACAAATTGTACAGAGTGTTCCATAGGTAAAGGCATACTATAGAATTATTGTGTTCTTAAATAATGAATGTGTCTAGAAATTCCGTTTGAGATCATACTTACAGGTTTAGGCTATTGTCAGTATTTTGTGTTACCTTTATGGGCGTTCTTGTAGGAATATCTGATTTTTTTCTAATTGTAAAATCAGTTAATAACACCAATTACTTTTGAATTAATATAGCTTATTGTAATACATTTTCTTTTACTCATAATAAGAAGGAATTTGTCAATTGAAACTTTTTTGTTCTCCCACATCCATTGCTTTTTAAACCCAATACCACTATTTGACAAAGTTTTGATAAGTAAATGATATATAGTTTTTGAAAATGTTCAAATGAACTAGCAAAGTATTTGCACTATTTTGCATTTGGCTTTACTTCTGTATTCAAGCCAGACATATTTACATACTAATATAATTTATGCACTGAATAATTTCATTAATTTTCCAGGCCACAAATGCCCCAGTAAGTACGACCCCCCAGTACCCTGCTCCAGTGGTCAGTACCAGAACCATACAGGAATGTCCAGCTGTCTCCCCTGTCCAGCAGGCTACCAGTGTCCAGAGGGGGAACAATTGTCAACTGTATGTCTGCCTGGACATTTCTCACACCCTGGTAGCTCTAACTGCACCATATGTCCCCTGGGTCACTACTGTCCAGAAGAGGGTATGGTGCAGCCTGTTCAATGTCCGGCTGGTCAGTACCAGATGACCAGTGGTAGTACCAGTTGCTTGGAATGTCCAGTAGGTGAGTGTATACCCAAGTCTTGTTTAGACTCACATTCAGATTGGTTTAAAACTAAAACCAATTTTTGTCTGAAATACGTCTCTTCTGGAAGTTTCTATTCAAAAAATTATTTTAAAAGATAATGTTTTCAGTATTTGGTTGCTTTGTTTAGAAATAAATATTTTAGGTAAGAGATTTCTTCTTTAAAATGATTAATCGTAACGTCTAGTAATTTGATACAAATACATTCTGATGAACTTATTTGTAAATTTTTAAAACCTGCTTGCAGTGGGTTAATATGTCATGTGCTTGAAAATGTTGCATGACAGTAATGTAGCTATGATGAATATCATTGTTCTTGACTGAATGAGTCCATATCAAGTGCTCTGTGAACAACAGTTTTAACAGTTAAAATGAATTTTCATGAAATTTGGCAATTTTATTTGTTCCTACTCCAGGTCACAAGTGCCCCTCCTTGAACTCCCCTCCAGTCCCTTGTCTCTCTGGTCAGTACCAGAACCAGACCGGGATGTCCACCTGTCTCCCCTGCCCAGGTGGTCACCAGTGTCCAGTGGGGACGGACCCGCCCTTCACATGTCCAGTTGGTCACTCTGCCGAGATGGGGAGCACCAGTTGTACCATATGTCCCCTTGGTCACTATTGTCCAGATGAAGGCCTGGTCCAGCCTCTTCAATGTCCAGAGGGTCATTTTCAGATGTCCACTGGGGGCATTAATTGTAGTGTTTGCCCTAGAGGTAGGTGGTTGGATTTTATATGTGATAAAAACGTAGAATGATGAGGTTGGGGGCTACTTTATCAAAAAAGTCTCAGTTTTATAGCTTTAAATCAGCATATTTGTTTTAAGCACATTGATAGTAACGGTTTGATTTCATTCTGATACCAACAGGTCCAGATCTGCTGTACTTCTTTAAAATATAAACTTAAATTTTGAAGAACCACACTGAAAACAAGAAGTAACTACATTTTTTTGAAATTAAAAGCCCATCAAAGAATAACTTCAGTGTGGAGAGAATAACTAGCTTCACATGACAGTATTTGATTAATTCTTTCTTAAATTTGAAACTTATACATTTAATTTTTCTTATATTGTTTCAGACCACAAGTGTCCAGACATCACCTCTCCCCCTGAACCCTGCCCCACGGGACAGTACCAGAACTTGACCGGGATGGCCGTCTGTCTGCCGTGTCCCGGTGGCCATGAGTGTCCTATAGGGGGCAGCTCTCTCATCCCGTGCCAACCTGGATACTACTCGGACACTGGTCACTGCACAATCTGTCCTACTGGTCACTTCTGTCCAGACACGGGGATGTTTCAGCCTGTCCAGTGTCCAGCTGGTCACTATCAGATGTCCACAGGGGCTACGAATTGTTCGGAATGTCCGATAGGTAACTGTTTATGGATACACATGCTATTTGTATAATTTGAAACAAGTGATAGCAAATAAGGGGCTGTCTTGCATGACTTGTTTCTAAATCATCTCATAAACAAATGAAGTCTTATGATTGATTAAATGGGCGAAAATTATGGCCTAGTGCAAGTTCTAGATCATTTACATGTTTGCCCTGATTTCTCAACCAAGAGTTATAAAAGTCCATGGAGTACCTTGGAGCATCTTCATTACAATTAACACATCATTTCACTCTCCAGGTAACCACTGCCCCAGTGTATTCAGTCCTCCTCAGTCCTGCTCTGCTGGTCAGTACCAGAATCTGACTGGGATGACCGGTTGTCTGCTGTGTCCTGGCGGTCATCAGTGTCCCGAGGGAGGCGCCATTCCAGCTGAGTGTCCGACCGGTCACTACTCAAACCCTGGTGGCTCCAGCTGCACTCTCTGTCCTATTGGTCACTACTGTCCCTATGCGGGCATGGCTGACCCGTTCTTGTGTCCGTCTGGTAGCTACCAAATGACCACTGGTAGTATGAATTGTACTGAATGCCCACAAGGTAGGTGTCTGCATTTTACTTCTTAGTATGCCTTCATTCTGTAGATTTCTACAGAAAGATTAGTTTGTCTTATGACTGTTTGAGTTGGATATTACGTGATTATACTATTTGGATGCAATTGCTATTTTCTAAATGCTTTTTCTGCATAAAAGATTATCAAGCTAATCCAGTATTATAATATTGTATTTATATATTTAAATATTTCCTACTCTTTATCTGAATATTTTTATCTGAAATTTTGTTGTATTTATACACAAGATAACAAATGCCCCAGCGTGGATGCCTTGCCAGTACCTTGTGTGGCTGGTCAGTACCAAAACCAGTCCGGAATGACGGCCTGTCTGGCTTGTCCAGGTGGATACCAATGTCCAACAGGAAGTAACTCCATCCAGGAGTGCCCAATGGGTCACTTTGCATACCCAGGGAGCTCTAGCTGTACCATATGTCCTACTGGTCACTATTGTCCAGATGTGGGCGTGGTCCAGCCCATCCAGTGTCCAGACGGTCACTATCAGACGTCCACTGGGAGTGCAGCTTGTGTTGAGTGTCCACAGGGTGGGTGTTAAATTCAGTCCATTTTGAGTCTTTAAAATTAACGCTGCTATTTGTGTATAGTTTAGGCAAATTACCACTTGTATTTGGACGATGATCAGACTGAAAAATTTTCTAAATGTAAGTTGAGGTAGTTTAGTTTGAAATTTGGGAAATCAGTGAGTTTGGTCAAATTTCTCCTGTTATCTTCAATTACATTATATAATTTATATATCTTGGAAATTTATTTTAATCCTCAGTATTATATCCCATATTTCTCTCTCCATTACTTTAGGTCACAGGTGCCCCAGTATCTATTCCATAGCAGTACCTTGTTCTGTCGGTCAGTACCAGAACCAGACCGGGATGACCAGCTGTCTGCCCTGTCCCGCTGGTCACCAGTGTCCCGACGGGACCGCCTCCCCCACCAAATGTCCAGTGGGTCATTTTTCCGAGACTGGTAGCACTGATTGCACTTCATGTCCACTGGGTCACTACTGTCCAGATATGGGTATGGTCCAGCCAGTCCAGTGTCCTAACGGTTACTATCAGACGTCCACTGGTGGGAGCACCTGCAGCGAGTGCACCGCAGGTGAGATATGATCTCTACAAGGATGAATTTTTTTTTACAGATGCAAAAAATTTCAACAGAATTTTTACATACCTTCATCATGAAGATTTAGCTAATACTTGGCTAACTGTTGCATTTTCCCTTTGACTAAAACCTTCAGCCTTCTGTTCACTTCTGGTTCACTATTGCTATCTGTTGATGTCATTTGATTCTTAACCTGTATGGATTTAATAAGTCTCTTGTCTCTCATCAAATATAATCCATGTCTCTACAAACCTCAGGTCACAGGTGCCCCAGTATCTATTCCACACCCGAGGCCTGCTCTACTGGTCAATACCAGAACCAGACAGGAATGACCAGTTGTCTCCCCTGTCCCGCTGGACATAAGTGTCCAGTTGGAAGTAACCCACCAGTTGTGTGTCTGGCTGGTCAGTACGCGGAGGCAGGCAGCACCAGTTGTACCAACTGCCCTACTGGTCACTACTGTCCAGATGTTGGTATGATCCAGCCTGTTCAGTGTCCAGATGGTTACTACCAGACAACACTAGGTGGCACTAGTTGTACAACATGCTCAGCAGGTATAGATTTGATCCCACTGATATTGTAGCATTGTGCCATAATATAAAGAAAAATGAGTACTATTATATATATGTACTTATGTGAACTGAACTTTTTTCTTCCTTTTTGAAATGGATTGGAAATAAAATGCAGTAATTTTTGCTGTATATGATAGCTCAAGTGAAATGTTTCAGCAGTATAAAGTAGAATGTTTTGAGTGGAATTTCTTCAGTTGTATTCATAAATTTATAACTAATTCAAAATTTCTCAGTTCATAAAGTACAATATTATCTGCATTTGTAGAAGTTACCGTGCCTGCATCCATACAGCAACTTTTACATTTCTCTGTTCCCATTCATTACCAGGTCACATGTGCCCCAGCATCTACTCCCCTCCCATACCCTGCTCCAGCGGTCAGTATCAGAACGTCACAGGGATGTCCAGCTGTCTCACATGTCCAGGAGGTCACCAGTGTCCATCGGGGAGTGGGTCGTCCATTGCCTGTCTCCCGGGGAACTACGCCAATCCAGGCAGTACCAGCTGTTCTATGTGTCCTACTGGTCACTACTGTCCAGATGTGGCCATGGTCCAGCCTGTCCAATGTGCAGACGGTCACTATCTTACAATGATGGGGGGTACAAGTTGTACAGAATGCCCATCTGGTAAGATGTTATCTTCTTATGATGATTGTGTTTCAAAAAAGTTGGATCAAAATTCTAAACCTACTTAGAAATTTAAGAAATGATAATGCAGTCAGTTAACTTGTTGATATGCAACATGTTTAAGTTAGGTTTTGCCAAAGCAATATATTTGTTGAGGCAAAAATAAAACCTTGGACTTTTATCCAGGTCACAGATGTCCCAGTATATACTCGCCCCCAGAGGCCTGTCTCTCTGGTCAGTACCAGAACCAGACAGGAATGACCAGTTGTCTCCCCTGTCCAGCTGGTCACAGATGTCCAGTGGGAAGAAATCCTCCAGAGATATGCCCATCGGGGTACTATGCCCAAACTGGCCAGTCCGTCTGTACCCACTGTCCTAGCGGTCACTACTGTCCAGATGCCGGCATGGGAGAGGCAGTCCAGTGCGCTGATGGGTATTATCAAACATCTCCCGGGAGCACCATTTGTATTGAATGCTCAGTAGGTGAGGAGGAGTGTACTTTTAATGCTGCAATGAATTTTTGTCCATGCGTTGTGTCTGAAAACACAAAACAACAACATTTCTGCTTGTTTCTTGCATTAGCATTCATTACATGATATATAATAATATTAAAATTTCAGTCTTAAACCAAATTATGCCACAGTTAGATAGAAGTCCTTGTTAAAAACTAACTTCAATTGACTCTTTTAAGTTAAAACTCTTACAATTCGATGCCTTTTCCTGGAATTGGTCACAATTTTATTCCAGGTCACAGGTGCCCTAATGTGTACAACATGCCAGAGGCCTGTCTCTCTGGTCAGTACCAGAACAAGACCGGGATGACCACATGTCTGCCTTGTCCAGGGGGCCACAGATGTCCAGTGGGCAGTAATCCACCCCAGGAGTGTCCAGTTGGTCACTTTGCTAATACAGGCAGTTCCAGTTGTACCCTGTGCTCTACTGGTCACTACTGTCCAGATGTGGCCATGGTCCAGCCTGTACAGTGTCCAGATGGTTATTATCAGGTTAACCAGGGGAGGACGAGTTGTAATGAATGTCCTGTGGGTAAGTTGTTATCTGGTATTCTTTATATTGGTGTAAAATGAATGGTTTTGTGCTTAGTTTCATGGTATTGTAGTTACTAAAATGCATAATGGCTGTTACAAGCATGATTTTGATACCTGACTTTGATGAAAAAAATAAATAATAGGAATTTTTCTATGCAATTTTCCATCTAAAGTGGACCCCTGGGTATATATAAGACCACTGAGCCATTTCTTCTTACTTTTTTTATAACAATCCAAAATCATGTCTGCAATTGGTGACAACATGGACACAATTTTCTCTCTCACTCGCTTAGAAGATGATTTGAAAATATTAAAAAGTGTTCAGATTGAAGTAGGAAACTTTATGTTAGACTATACCTAAATATGAGAGGTATTGAGATATTTGGAATTAAGCAAGAGAAAATGTATTTTAGTTATTTTATTCCAGTGAAATATTTCTGTCATGTCTATTATAAAATACACATAGGTATAGAGATAATAAAAGGAGACAATATTATAAAGGCATGTCTATCCTCTAGGTCACAGATGCCCCAGTATATACAACACACCTGAATCCTGCTCTGCTGGTCAGTACCAGAACAAGACCGGGATGACCAGTTGTCTGCCCTGTCCAGGTGGACACAGGTGTCCAGTGGGCAGTAACCCACCTGAGGTATGTCCAGTTGGTCACCATGCTGACATTGGGAGCGCCAGCTGTGACGCCTGTCCCCTGGGTCACTACTGTCCAGATGTGGGTATGGCCCAGGCTGTACTGTGTCCAGATGGTTACTACCAGACATCCACTGGGACAACTAGCTGTAATGAATGTCCAATAGGTTGGTGTTTATCATGTTTATTTTTATNTTTGGAATACTGTCAGAGAATATCTCTGGGTCCGCTCATGTTATTGACCATTTTACCTGTTGTGCATGATTATAAAATTCAGTGTTGACTGATAGTGCTATTATAAGCATTATTTATTATTGCATCAAAATTAACAAAATGACCTTTTTTGCATCTTTATTTTCTGTTTTTTGTCTGTACATTTGACAGCTTTGCTGCCTTGTTTAGAATAAAATATTGATAAAAATTTGGTTTATAAAACAGCAAATAAGAAATTGAGTTAATATGACTGGATTTAATTCAACACACTCTTTTGGTTACTGCATAATAAAATATCTTTTTATTTCAAACATTTATTAATGAATGATGAAATTATATTAGTTAACCATTCAGTGTTACATTAGAGACAGTAAATTCACAGAAACATTTGAAAGATTTAACTTTGAATTTTGAGTCCCAAATACCTTTATAATTCATCCAGAACAAGTGCTCTGTCCAATATTAAAAAGAAATATTGCATTTACAGGTAATGTCTTGAATGACACACTGTATAAATATTATAGATATTAATAATATAATATTAAAATCCCATTATTCCAGGTCACAGGTGCCCTAATGTATACTCACTTCCAGAGGCTTGTCTTGCTGGTCAGTATCAGAACCAGACAGGAATGACCGGTTGTCTCCCATGTCCAGGGGGATATAAATGCCCAGTAGGAAGTGATCCACCCCAGAAATGTCCAGTTGGTCACTATGCTAATACAGGCAGTTCCAGTTGTACCATATGTCCTCCTGGTTACTACTGTCCAGAGGTTGGTATGGTCCAGCCTGTCCAGTGTCCATCTGGTCAGTATGAGTCATCCACTGGGAGCACGGCATGTACGGAGTGTCCCCAAGGTAATGGAGTTAATTGAGTTAATGAGATGAATTTCTGTGAGATGTTTATTATATGCTTGGCATTTACAGTTTTTTAGTTATTAGTCAATAACGATTTGATATTTGGCACTCTACAAACATTGGTACATTATTATTATTATTATTATCTGAAAGTTTCCTAATGTCTACATAAACCTACTGAACTTTCCCAATGCTTCCCCCCCTCTAAGAATATACGCTTTAGCCAGTAAATCCTGTATAGGGTACCTTTAACATAGACAACTTTCCTGTTTTACCAGGTCACAGATGCCCCAGTATCTACTCCCCTCCAGATCCCTGCCAGAATGGTCAGTACCAGCTACTGTCAGGGATGGCCAACTGCCTGCCTTGTCCTGGTGGACACCAGTGTCCAGTGGGGACTGACCCTCCCATAGAGTGTCCAATTGGCTACTTTGCCAGTACAGGCAGTTCCAGTTGCTCTTTATGTCCTTCTGGTCACTACTGTCCAAATACTGGACTGGACCAAGCTGTTCAGTGTCCATCTGGACATTTTCAGGCTAACACTGGGAAAACAAACTGTACTGAATGTCCCATTGGTAAGTTTGAATTTTGTTTAAAGAATATGCCTATTTTTTTGTCATAAATGTGCTTAAATTTTGTGAAAATAAAGGAATTCCCCCCTTTTGTATTAAGAGGTTACATTACAGTACTCATATTCACAATTTTTTTTAGATAATTTATCACAAAATTTAAACCAAATGAGTCAATTAGTAGAAATAAATAATATTTAGACTTTTTTCCTGAAAAAAAATAGCCATTTGAACAATTGTTTGTATATTTCCTCTTTTTGGACAGAGTTTTAATTATACAAAATTAAGTGACACCATTTAGGAATTTGAAACGCATCTTGTCTTTTTGTATTCTATTTTTGAACACAAAATACTATTTCTTCACTTTCCCAGGTCACAGGTGCCCCAGTATCTACACATTACCAGTCCCTTGTCTGTCTGGTCAGTACCAGAACCAAGCAGGAATGACCACCTGTATAGCATGCCCAGGGGGACAGAAATGTCCAGTTGGAAGTGAGCCCCCTATCCAGTGTCCAGCGGGTTACTATGCCAACATAGGCAGCTCTTTGTGTACTATCTGTCCCACTGGTCACTACTGTCCAGTTGCTGGCGGAATTCAGCCGATACAGTGTCCGTCTGGATACTATCAGCCTTACACGGGGAAATTCAACTGCACAGAGTGTCCTATAGGTAAGACTTCTTCACCTCGTGACAAGATGAAATATAGATAGACTATATCATTGCCTTGTACCATATATTTATGACTGGGTCTGCCTTCATCTATACATTTATGACCTGTATTGCACACATATATGGTAGACTACCCTATACATTTATGCCCTGCAATATACATTTATGACTGGCTACCCTGTTTTGTTTATGCCTTCATCTATACATTTATGTCCTGTTATCTATATTTCTGACTAGCTACCTTTATTTATTTATGCCTTTATCTATACAGTTATACCCTGTATTTTATATTAATGACTGTCTCCATTAATTATACCCTGTCCTATAATAATTAGGTCATGGTTGTCCCAGCACCACAGAGTTTCCAGAGGCTTGTTCTGCAGGACAGTACCAGAACCAGACTGGCATGACTGGCTGTAAACAGGTACAGCCTGGGTAGATCTTTCTTTTTTTTTTTTTAATTTTCTGTTATCTTGAGCATTTATAGTTACCTTATTTAGAATGGAATTCTGAGTTAAAGGTGCTTAAAAGTTGGGTGATTTTAATAGAAATGCATTCTTCTTATTGGATTTTAAATCATGCTTGTAATTGGGTGATTTTGGGATAAGTAGCAGTAAGTAAAATCATGATCAAAATTTAATTATATATTGATCTGTAACTCTCAGTTATAGTGTTTTTTATATGAAATGATGTGGTAATTACCCTAGCCGTTGCAGGTGTCAAGATGGCTGGAGCCAAAGTTAGTTGTTTTATGTGAATGTATTGAATGAATGAATTTATTTCAGGATATCAAATTTTACATAAAGATTGTTAAGATGACACAAAACTTACATGGTTCCAGGTGTCTCAGTGAAGGCATAAAGAACAGTTATTATTAGGATAACTCAACAAAGTAATCAGAAGTCATTGTGGTACTTGATATCTGTCTGTCCATTAATATGTTACAAATTTCATTACATAAAAAGTTTTTTTTTTCTGCAGTGCCCAGATGGCTATTACCAGATCTATCCAGCAGAAGAATACTGCATAGAGTGTCCTGAAGGTAGTTGATTTTAATTACCCTAGCCGTTGCAGGTTAAAAAGATGCTCTTAAATTAAGCATATGATATGCATTGTAAAATGTAGTAATTATTTGAAACATTTATGTATGTTTTCTATCAAAAAGGGAAAAAAGAATGAAATTGAACAAAGGGTGTATGTATGTATGGGGAAACAAGGCCCTTTGTTTTATTGCAAATTACTTGTAAAGTTTACACCATTGGAGGTGGTATTTGTTTAAAATGTGTTCTGTTTCTTCAGGTCACAGCTGTGGCAGTCCTGAGGTGCTTCCTGCTGCCTGCCTCCCTGGACAATACCAAAATGACACTGGGATGACTGGCTGTAAACAGGTGAGAGAGAGAGAGAGAGAGAGAGAGAGAGAGAGAGAGAGAGAGAGAGAGGAGGAGGAGGAGGAGGAGGAGGAGAGAGAGAGAGAGAGAGAGAGAGAGAGAGAGAGAGGAGGAGAGAGAGAGAGAGAGAGAGAGAGAGAGAGAGAGAGAGAGAGAGAGAGAGAGAGAGAGAGAGAGAGAGAGAGAGAGAGAGAGAGAGAGAGAGAGAGAGAGAGAGAGAGAGAGGAGAGAGAGAGAGAGAGAGAGAGNACGATGTGGGGTAAGTCGGTCTGGAACTGCCTGTACTGGAGATGGAGTAGACCATGTCTGTACACGATACACGATGTGGGGTAAGTCAGTCTGGAACTGCCTGTAATAGAGATGGAGTAGATCATGTCTGTACTAGATGTGGGGTAAGTCAGTCTTGAACTGCCTGTACTAGGGATGGAATAGATCATGTCTGTACTAGATGTGGGGTAAGTCAGTCTGGAACTGCCTGTACTGGAGATGGAATAGATCAGGAATTTTTGTAATTTCAATATGAACTGTGTGGTAATTGTGACAACTACTGTTAAAAAACTTACTATTAAACAGAATTAAATCCCTGTGAAGGTGAAACTGTGTAGATTTGTAAAGTAATTTTTCGAAAATAATTATTTCATTATACTGATCATGATTAACTAAGAATGTTTTGCCATGCCTGCTGTACTTTCCTTAGGGAACTAGAAAACTCTAATATGCATCTCTTTTCTACTTTTAGTCTGTACATTTGACAGGTTTGCTGCCTTGTTTTTACATATTTTGCCATTCTTGTTATAATTTCAGTATGGAGAACACTCCAATGGCACCCACTGCCTCACCTGTCCAGTTGGCTACTACTGTCCACCTCTCAGCCCCATACAGCTGTGTCCCCTGGGGGCGTACCAAGACCAGACAGGGCAGCCATCTTGTAAGCTGTGTCCAGCTGGTCACTCATGTGTGAATGTCTCACTGCCGCCGTTACCTTGTACACCAGGGTTCTACAGCCAGTTTGTGCAGTATGATTGTGTGGTGGGTATTTTTTTAAATAAAAATTTTATTGCCTTTCGGTTGTTTTAAATAAATAAAAAATTAATTAGGTTTCCATTGGTATTTCATCTGGACTTCACCTGTTCATTGACTTAAGCTTAGAAAGACTACCCTATAGATAAATGATGATAATGACTGTGCTAACCCCTTCCCCCTGACATATATATGGAAAGGGATATATTCATGATTTCAGTTTTTTTATCCATTATTGATGCTTAGAATACAAGGTAAAAATGTCTATTTCCAGGCGTGTGAGACTGGTTATTACAGCGCGGCCGCAGCAGGCAGCTGTATGGAGTGTCCAGGGGGCCACTCGTGTTACGACGGCGCAAACTACACTCTGCCAACGCCGTGTGATGTGGGGATGTACAGCCCAGCAGGGGTCTCCACTTGTTCTTATTGTGTGCCAGGTGCGTGAAGTTATGAAACAAAACACTTTTTCTTTCAAGAGCTTAATTCTCTATTTGTAAAAGTAAACAATAATATTTTATGATCCTGAGAATCTGCTTTTCATCCTTTAGAAATAAGATATCCTATAACGACCAAACCCAGTTTATCATCTTAGGGAGGAGTCTGTTCCCATAAACCTATCACACCAGCTGGATTGATCTAACTCTTTGGGGATTCTGGTTAAATTGCATTCAGTGTAAGTGGCTTAAATGTCTGTCACGCCTGCTCAAGATGCTAGGGGGTAATTCACAATAGTCAATTACCCTCTAGTTACTCAAGGGAGGTGTGCTAGACAATTAAGCTGTAAAGAGTTAGAACAATCCATCTTGTAAAATGAGTTTATGGGAATACAGTCAGAGTCGTACGATATATATATGTATTGCTTTGTATTCTATCCTTTAGGTTCATACAGCAACATAGGGGGCACCACCTGTTCTCCATGTCCAGTGGGACATTACTGTCTTGATCCTGTGATACCTAAACCATGTAGCGTAGGCAGCTACAGTGTGGGAGGCACAGTGAGTGTAATATTCATACCAGTCCAACTATAATAGCAAAATAATCAACAGGATAAACAAAAATTACATATTTGTAATCAAAACAATCAATTCAATAAAAAAAGATTAAGGGAATTTGTCAATCATTTGATTTGGATAACCATAGTTATATAGATATGGAATATTTCGATATGTTTTCTCGTAAATATTTATTTACATAGGTTTTCTGTCTCAGCATTATTTACAAGTACAATTTTGTTGATGTACTACCAATTCCTCCGTCTCTTCCAGGTATTACATTGTACTGTATGTCCCTCTGGATTTGAGTGCAGTGACCCCGCGGCCAACCCCGTACCTTGTCCATTTGGTACCTACTCCCTGTCCAACTCCACAGCATGTACGGTTTGCCCCCAGGGGTTCTCCTGTCTGGACCCCAGGGAACCTCCACAGCTGTGTGAACAAGGAGCTTATAGTATGGAGGTAGAGTAGTGTGTGTGTGTGTGTGTGTGTGTGTGTGTGTGTGTGTGTGTGTGTGTGTGTGTGTGTGTGTGTGTGTGTGAGAGAGAGAGAGAGAGAGAGAGAGATAGAGAGAGAATGTGGACATTTGTGTATGTTTGTCTGGGACGTGTGTGTACATGTATATGTGTGTGTTATCAGGTGTGCTGTGTTTCTTCACAGATAGTTCAGTTACAATATTTGTCTATGCATAAGTGAGGGCAGGTGTACTATTCAATTGCCTGAATGTCTTTTGCCACACAGACAGATACAACAACTAATGTAAAATGCTATAGTTGTACAGACATTGTGTACATAGTTGTTAATATGTTTATGTGTGTACATACATGTGTCCAGGTATTTATACCCACCATAACTAACCCTCCAGTCTCTCTCTCTCCAGGGTGATGGTCAGTGCAGGCAGTGTCCAGCTGGCTACTCCTGTTCTCTGGACGGCACTGAGACCCCCTGTGACCTGGGCTATTACAGCCTCGCGGGGGACTTCAACTGCACCCTCTGTCCCGTGGGCTCACACTGTCCATCTCCTGACGTGGCCCCCATAGAGTGTGACGTTGGTCAGCATACCTTTGGTCAAGGAGGCCAGAGAGCTTGTGTGGACTGCTTACCTGGACAAGCCTGTTATAATACCAGGTGAAGGACACTGACTCTTTGGCCCCATTCAGAATAGGGGACTAAGCAGTCTGAGGGTCAAATATGGCGTCCTACTACAAAGCTAATAGACACTGAATAGATATCCTGATGGGAAGTATTCAAGTGGGTCGGCCATATTTGACCCTAGAGCAGTTAGTCTACTGTTCTGAATCAATTGGACACCAAAATCCCTTCAGCTGTGACAGACCTACTCAGCATTAACGGCTGCGAAATTAGATATGGCAATATTTCATTTTAAAAAAACTTTGCTCCTGTGTACAAAGAGAGTAAAAAGTAGGACCATGCAGAAAGTAATCACTATTGTCACCTTCTACCCTTTTAATTTTGGGTACACCCCTTGTACCAGCAGTTGTACCAGCAGTGTAAATAGACAGAAAGCAGGCAAATAGTCCCCGTTTTTCCCTCACTATCTTTTTATCTCCCCCAGAGTGCTCCCCTTCAACTGCAGTGCCGGGGAGTTCAGTGGTCTCCGGTCATCTGCCTGTACCACGTGTCCAGCTGGCTATAGTTGTGCTACTACAGTGTCCGTCCCGGCCCCCTGTCTCCCGGGGATGTACTCCATCAGTGGTCAGACGGCCTGCTCCTTCTGTCCAGCTGGTCATGCCTGTCCTTCCACTTCTGATGTGAACAGCTCTTATGTCTGCCCTAGTGGTGAGGTTCTTTACTCATTTTTATAATTGGCTGAATAAACTTTTATCTTGTTCTTTTAAAAGTTTTTTTTAGAACTGTGTTCATGTGCATAAGGAATAGTGTATTTGATAGATGTGTATAAAAGTACAGGCCATTCCAGCTGAACTTAAAAAGTATTAATCCTAGATTAAGCAGTTATCTCTTTTTGTTGCCTTGATTTCACTATATTTTGTTTTAGGAGGGTGAGTTTTTAACACACCTTGAGTTAAACATGGAGAGAAAGTTAAATACCATTTATAATCACATCATCAGGTTAAGTGGGAAATTTTGTAATCCACTCTGATGCTCCACATATACTTTCCAGGCAGCTTTGCCTTAGCTAACAGTCCAAGCTGTACCACTTGTCCAGCAGGGAAATACTGTCCATCTATCACCATGGATACCGTACTGGACTGTCCAGCAGGTACCTTCAGCCTCTCCGGACAGGACGTGTGTACGCCGTGTCCAGCAGGTTGGCAGTGTGCGGCAGTGGATGGAACCCAGAACTCTGAATGTTTGGAGGGGTTCTTTTCTGTAGGTGGGTGCTGTTCTTTTTTATTGTCTTCCATGGAATCTGTTGTAACCAATTTATATGGCTGTCAGTGTGAGGCAACCAACTAAAAGTGCCTGTATCAAGTGACCAACTGAAACTGCCTGTATTAGGCAACCAACTGAAACTGCCTGTATCTGGCAACTAACTGAAACTGCCTGTATTAGGCAACTAACTGAAACTGCCTGTATCAAGAAACCAACTGAAACTGCCTGTATCTGGCAACCAACTGAAACTGCCTGTATCAAGAAACTCACTGAAACTGCCTGTATCTGGCAACCAGCTGAAACTGCCTGTATCAAGAAACCAACTGAAACTGTCTTTATCTTGCAACCAACTGAAACTGGATGTATCAAGCAACCAGCTGAAATCGCTTTGCCATATTTTGAATGTTTTTGCACAGAAAAACGCCTTGAATATAATAGCTGATTCTGTAATGGTCTTGAAATTTGCATCACATGTCATTTTGTTGATATTAATCATAACAATATCTTTACCTATTCATTGTCTTTTGATATATTTAGGAAACCAAACTGCCTGCATCCAATGTCCTGCTGGTTTTGCATGTCCAAGTACATCATCCAATCAGAACTTCACCTGTCATCCTGGCACTTACGCTGTGGCTGGTTCCACGGTCTGCACCTCGTGTGCTGCGGGTTACGAGTGCCCAGATGTGGAGAGTCCACAGAGAGAGCCGTGTAATTCAGGGTACTTCAGTATCGGTTCCCAGGCAGCGTGTGATGTGTGCCCTGCTGGCTTTGCTTGTTATTCCTCTGCTAACAGGTAAGTGAAGTGGAAGTGATGATGGTGTCTGAAGAAACAACAGTAGTAATTCAGTGTGCAGGATCTCATGCCTTTTTTTTTTTTTTTTTTTTTTTCAGTTTTCGTGATTAAAGCTAAAAACAAAGAGGGTTAAGTGATCTTGAATACTATCCATTTCACTAGTGATCTACATTTTTTTTGTTGTAATACTGGTATTAGATACAGGGTTCACACCTGACAAATACCAGTATTTGCTCCAATAATTGTAACGTTTCATCACAATATAACTTCAATGTCTCCGTCTCTCCTCAGAACACAGTGCATGCTGGGTACCTACTCGCTGGCAGGTTCTGTCCACTGTACGCCCTGTGAAGCAGGCCTGCAGTGCCCGTACATCAACCGGACTGGTGTAGAGTGTGAGGATGGCTTCTACAGCCTGGGGGGTCAGTATCAGTGTACCCCGTGTCCCCCGGGGTGGTATTGTGCCCAGAAAGATATTCCACCTGTGATCTGTCCACGAGGTACCTACAGCAGTAACTCCACTATGGCGTGTAGCAGCTGTTCCGCAGGGTACACATGTGGAGAGAACAGGAACAGCAGTGAACCACTGGAGGATATGTGTCCAATAGGTAGGTAGTTTGTTTTATACCACCATCATTCATGGGCTTTTTCCGCGGAAACGTGGAATTCCAGATTTTTTAATTCAATTCTGATGATTCCTGAGATTCGTCAAGATCTGCAATAAAATCTGTTCAGAGTTTGTTTTTTTTTTTTTTTCTTCATTTTGAAACATAGACTCTTGCCTGCACCATAAAGTAAACAGGCAAAGCAATCCACATAATCACATACAGGATTAACCAAGCATGATATGAAAATTGATGTGTGTNTAAGTCAGTCTTGAACTGCCTGTACTAGAGATGGAGTAGATCATGTCTGTACACGATGTGGGGTAAGTCAGTCTTGAACTGCCTGTACTGGAGATGGAATAGATCAGGAATTTTTGTAATTTTAATATGAACTGTGTGTTTATTGTGACAACTACTGTTAAAAAACTTACTATTAAAGAGAAATCCCTGTGAAGGTGAAACTGTGTAGATTTGGAAAGTAATTTTTCGAAAATAATTATTTCATTATACTGATCATGATTAACTAAGAATGTTTTGCCATGCCTGCTGTACTTTCCTTAGGGAACTAGAAAACTCTAATATGCATCTCTTTTCTACTTTTAGTCTGTACATTTGACAGGTTTGCTGCCTTGTTTTTACATATTTTGCCATTCTTGTTATAATTTCAGTATGGAGAACACTCCAATGGTACCCACTGCCTCACCTGTCCAGTTGGCTACTACTGTCCACCTCTCAGCCCCATCCAGCTGTGTCCCCTGGGGGCGTACCAAGACCAGACAGGGCAGCCATCTTGTAAGCTGTGTCCAGCTGGTCATTCATGTGTGAATGTCTCACTGCCACCGTTACCTTGTACACCGGGATTCTACAGCCAGTTTGTGCAGTATGATTGTGTGGTGGGTATTTTTTAATCAAAATTTTATTGCCTTTCAGTTGTTTTAAATAATTAACAAATTCATAAAGTTACCATATTGGTATTTCATCTGGACTTCACCTTTTCATTGACTTAGGCCTGAGACGGACTACCCAATAAGTCAAACATATGATAATGACTGTGCTAAACCCTCCCCCTGACTTCTATAAGGAAAGGAATATATTCATGATTTAAGTTTTTTTATCCATTATTGATACTTAAAATGTAAGGTAAAAATGTCTGTTTCCAGGCGTGTGAGACTGGTTATTACAGTGCGGCCGCAGCAGGCAGCTGTATGGAGTGTCCAGGGGGCCACTCGTGTTACGACGGCGCAAACTACACGCTGCCCACGCCGTGTGATGTGGGGATGTACAGCCCAGCAGGGGTCTCCACTTGTTCTTACTGTGTGCCAGGTGCGTGAAGTTATGGAAAAAATTGCTTTTTTCTTTCAAGAGCTTAATTCTCTATTTGTAAAAGTATTTATTTTAAACATGGCTGAAACAGTAATATTTTATGATCCTGAGAATCTGCTCTTCATCATTTACAAATAAGATATCCTATAACGACCTAACCCAGTTTTTCATCTTAGGGAGTCTGTTCCCATAAACCTATCGCACCAGCTGCATTGATCTAACTCTGTGGGGATTCTGGTTAAATTGCATTCAATGTAAGTGGCTTAAATGTCTGTCACGCCTGCTCAAGATGCTAGGGGGTAATTCACAATAGTCAATTACCCTCTAGTTACTCAAGGGGGGCGTGCTAGACAATTAAGCTGTAAAGAGTTAGAACAATCCATCTAGTAAAATGAGTTTATGGGAACACAGTCAAAGTCGTACGATATATATGTATTGCTTTGTATTCTATCCTTTAGGTTCATACAGCAACATAGGGGGCACCACCTGTTCTCCATGTCCAGTGGGACATTACTGTCTGGATCCTGTGATACCTAAACCATGTAGTGTAGGCAGCTACAGTGTGGGAGGCACAGTGAGTGTAATATTCATACCAGTCCAACTATAATAGCAAAATAATCAACAGGATAAACAAAAATTACATATTTGTAATCAAAACAATCAATTCAATAAAAAAAGATTAAGTGAATTTGTCAATCGTTTGATAGGGATAACCATAGTCATATAGATATGGAATATTGAGATATGTTTTCTTATAAATATTTATTTATGTAGGTTTTCTGTCTCGGCATTACTTACAAGTACAATTTCGTTGATGTACTGAGTCGACCAATTCCTCTGTCTCTTCCAGGTATTACATTGTACTGTATGTCCCTCTGGTTTTGAGTGCAGCAACCCCGCGGCCAACCCCGTACCTTGTCCATTTGGTACCTACTCCCTGTCCAATGCCACTGCATGTACGGTTTGCCCCCAGGGGTTCTCCTGTCTAGACCCCAGGGAACCTCCACAGCTGTGTGAACAAGGAGCTTATAGTATGGAGGTAGAGTAGTGTGTGTGTGTGTGTGTGTGTGTGTGTGTGTGTGTGTGTGTGTGTGTGTGTGTGTGTGTGTGTGTGTGTGTGCGTGTGTGCGCGCGCGCGCGTGCATTTGTGAGAGGAGGTATTCTATTCCTTTGCACGAAGGGGATTTCCCTGATTTTTAAATGAAAGATATGGTATGTGTTTGATAATGTAATTGTGCTAGTGTGTGTATGTGTGCGTGCAGTCAGTCATGATTAGGTGTCTTTTCCCTCACAAAGAAATATAACAATAAATGTTATAGTTGTTAAAATAGTTGTACATGGTTTTTAATATGTTTATGTGTATACGTATATATATGTTTGAAAGAAAGACTATTAAAGAAAGTAAGAAAGTATAATCAAAAATATGTTTATGTGTTTACATGTGTTACGACAGGTATTTATACCCACCATAACTAACCCTCCAGTCTCTCTCTCCAGGGTGATGGTCAGTGCAGGCAGTGTCCAGCCGGCTACTCCTGCTCTCTGGACGGCACTGAGACTGCCTGTAACTTGGGCTACTACAGCCTCGCAGGGGACTTCAACTGCACCCTCTGTCCCGTGGGCTCGCAATGTCCGTCTCCTGACGTGGCCCCCATAGAGTGTGACGCTGGTCAACATACCTTTGGTCAGGGCGGCCAGAGAGCCTGCCTGGACTGCTTGCCTGGACAAGCCTGTTATAATACTAGGTGAGGAAGGACACTGACTCTTTGGCCCCATTCGGAATAGGGGACTAACTAGTCCTAGGGTCAAATATGACAACCCACTAAAAAGCTAATAGACACTGAATAGATATCCTGTCGGGAAGTATTCAAGTGGATTGGCCATATTTGACCCACAGACTAGTTAGTCCACTGTTCTGAATCAATTGGACACCAAAATCCCTTCAGCTGTAACAGACCTACTCAGCATTAACGGCTGCGAAATTAGATATGGCAATATTTCATATTAAAAAAACTTTGCTCCTGTGTACAAAGAGAGTAAAAAGTAGGACCATGCAGAAAGTAATCACTATTGTCACCTTCTACCCTTTTAATTTTGGGTACACCCCTTGTACCAGCAGTTGTACCAGCAGTGTAATCAGACAGAAAGCAGGCAAATAGTCCCCATCTTTCCCTCTCTATCTTTTTATCTCCCCCAGAGTGCTCCCCTTCAACTGCAGTGCCGGGGAGTTCAGTGGTCTCCGGTCATCTGCCTGTACCACGTGTCCAGCTGGCTATAGTTGTGCTACTACAGTGTCCGTCCCCGCCCCCTGTCTCCCGGGGACGTACTCCATCAGTGGTCAGACGGCCTGCTCCTTCTGTCCAGCTGGTCATGCCTGTCCTTCCACTTCAGATGTGAACAGCTCTTATGTCTGCCCTAGTGGTGAGGTTCTATACTCATTTTTATAATTGGCTGAATAAACTTTTATCTTGTTCTTTTAAAAGTTTTTTTTAGAACTGTGTTCATGTGCATTAGGAATAGTGTATTTGATAGATGTGTATAAGAGTACAGGCCATTCCAGCTGAACTTAAAAAGTATTAATCCTAGATTAAGCAGTTATCTCTTTTTGTTGCCTTGATTTCACTATATTTTGTTTTAGGAGGGTGAGTTTTTTACACACCTTGAGTTAAACATGGAGAGAAAGTTAAATACCATTTATAATCACATCATCAGGTTAAGTGGGAAATTTTGTAATCCACTCTGATGCTCCACATATAATTTCCAGGCAGCTTTGCCTTAGCTAACAGTCCAAGCTGTACCACTTGTCCAGCAGGGAAATACTGTCCATCTATCACCATGGATACCGTACTGGACTGTCCAGCAGGTACCTTCAGCCTCTCTGGACAGGTTGTGTGTACGCCGTGTCCAGCAGGTTGGCAGTGTCCGGCAGTGGACGGAACCCAGAACTCTGAATGTTTGGAGGGGTTCTTTTCTGTAGGTGGGTGCTGTTCTTTTTTATTATCTTCCATGGAATCTGTTGTAACCAATTTATATGACTGTCAGTATGAGGCAACCAACTAAAACTGCCTGTATCAAGTGACCAACTGAAACTGCCTGTATTAGGCAACCAACTGAAACTGTCTGTATCAAGAAACCAACTGAAACTGCCTGAATCTGGCAACCAACTGAAACTGCCTGTATCAAGAAACCAACTGAAACTGCCTGTATCTGGCAACCAGCTGAAACTGCCTGTATCAAGAAACCAACTGAAACTGTCTTTATCTTGCAACCAACTGAAACTGGATGTATCAAGCAACCAGCTGAAATCGCTTTGCCATATTTTGAATGTTTTTGCACAGAAAAACGCCTTGAATATAATAGCTGATTCTGTGATGGTCTTGAAATTTGCATCACATGTCATTTTGTTGATATTTAATCATAACAATATCTTTACCTATTCATTGTCTTTTAATATATTTAGGAAACCAAACTGCCTGCATCCAATGTCCTGCTGGTTTTGCATGTCCAAGTACATCATCCAATCAGAACTTCACCTGTCATCCTGGCACTTACGCTGTGGCTGGTTCCACGGTCTGCACCTCGTGTGCTGCGGGTTACGAGTGCCCAGATGTGGAGAGTCCACAGAGAGAGCCGTGTAATTCAGGGTACTTCAGTATCGGCTCCCAGGCAGCATGTGATGTGTGCCCTGCTGGCTTTGCTTGTTATTCCTCTGCTAACAGGTAAGTGAAGTGGAAGTGATGATGGTGTCTGAAGAAACAACAGTAGTAATTCAGTGTGCAGGATCTCATGCCTGTTTTTTTTTTTTTTTTTTTTTTTTTCAGTTTTCGTGATTAAAGCTAAAAACAAAGAGGGTTAAGTGATCTTGAATACTATCCATTTCACTAGTGATCTACATTTTTTTTGTTGTAATACTGGTATTAGATACAGGGTTCACACCTGACAAATACCAGTATTTGCTCCAATAATTATAACGTTTCATCACAATATAACATCAATGTCTCCGTCTCTCCTCAGAACACAGTGCATGCTGGGTACCTACTCGCTGGCAGGTTCTGTCCACTGTACGCCCTGTGAAGCAGGCCTGGAGTGCCCGTACATCAACCGGACTGGTGTAGAGTGTGAGGACGGCTTCTACAGCCTGGGGGGTCAGTACCAGTGTACCCCGTGTCCCCCGGGGTGGTACTGTGCTCAGAAAGATATTCCACCTGTGATCTGTCCGCGAGGTACCTACAGCAGTAACTCCACTATAGCGTGTAGCAGCTGTTCTGCAGGGTACACATGTGGAGAGAACAGGAACAGCAGTGAGCCACTGGAGGATATGTGTCCAATAGGTAGGTAGTTTGTTTTATACCACCATCATTCATGGGCTTTTTCCGCGGAAACGTGGAATTCCAGATTTTTTAATTCAATTCTGATGATTCCTGAGATTCGTCAAGATCTGCAATAAAATCTGTTCAGAGTTTGTTTTTTTTTTTTTTCATTTTGAAACATAGACTCTTGTCTGCACCATAAAGTAAACAGGCAAAGCAATCCACATAATCATATACAGGATTAACCAAGCATGATATGAAAATTTATGTGTATATATATACATAATCTTATATTTAGCCAAACAAAGTGCTATACATTTACATGTCCATAATTTGAGGACTACAGAAACAATATTCAAATTTGCAAAATCTGTTGAGGGGAAAACAGTGACAAGATATGACAGTTGTGACTTTGTTTTAAATATGATATTCATGTATTATAAAGATATGAAACGTATCTTTCAGGTTTCTACTGTCTTGATGGGAAAACTGCCATTCTCTGCCCAGCAGGCACCTACGGCAACACAACGGGGGCCAGAAATGTCACGGAGGGGTGTGCCCCATGTCCCCCAGGTTACCAGTGTCCTGAGGGGACTGTGTACCACCCCCTGCACCCCAACTCTACAGCCCTGCTCTGCCCCCAGGGCTCCTACTGCCCTGAGGGGTCCGGTGAGGAGAGCTTTCTGTGCCCAGCAGGGACCTACAGTACCATGGCTGGTCTAGGGCGCATAGAGGAGTGTGAAGATTGTCCTCCAGGGTACCGTTGCCCCAGACAGGGAATGACTGCACCCTACTTCTGTGACCAGAGTTATTACTGTCCTGTAGGAACTATTGATCCCATACGCTGCCCCGCTGGGTATGACACAGAGCCATATGCTAAGAATTCCTCAGACTGCAAACCGGTTATAGCAGGCCATTACACCAAGGGCACTCACGCCAGGGAGTCCTGTTTTGGTGGTTACTATGGCAACATCACAGGACAGCCCAGCCATGATCTGGCCTGCATTCCCTGCCCCCCAGGGAAGTATTGCCCCCAACGTGGCATGACAGAGCCTGGAGAAGACTGCCCCCTGGGGTATTACTGTCCCTCAGGGACGATCCTCTGGCACCAGTTTCCCTGCCCCCCTGGAACTTTGGGTAATGCTACGGGCCTGATGACTGTGGGAGGCTGCGAGAGCTGTCCTGCGGGGTACGCTTGTCTGGAAGCCTCTGGTCACCCTGATGTCCCCCTGATAATCTGTGCCAAAGGTCACTACTGTCCAAATGGGACATCGTCAGATGTTGAGTTTCCGTGTCCAGGAGGGACGTACAACCCTGATGTGGGGAAGGGCAGATTATCAGACTGTAAAACTTGTCCTGCCGGGCAGCTGTGTCCACCTGGGACTTACGAAATATCGGAGTCTTACTCCTTCTGTGATCGGGGCCATTACTGTCCAGCGGGGACAAACCAGTCCGTGCCGTGTCCTGGAGGAACTTACAACCCAGATGAAGGAGGCACTAATGTCACCATATGTCGTGGATGTCCAGCCGGCCATTTCTGTCCCCCTGGCAGCATTATGCCATTGCCTTGTGATCCTGGCACCATGAACCCTCACGTCAACCAGTCCAATCAGACAGCCGCTTGCCAGCCATGCACTGCGGGCAAAGCGTGCACCGGCTACGGACTGATAGAACCAGATTCTCCCTGTCTACCCGGTCATTTCTGTGCCCCAGGCACGGCCACGGCAAACGAAACTGAATGTCCGGCAGGTACCTTCACTGACCGCGATGATTTGACCTCTTTTACAGAATGTGAGGTTTGCCCCGCATCATTTGCATGTTTCGCAGGCACGGGGGGTTATAAACTGCGCCCCAGGCCGTGTCACAGAGGTGCGTACTGTCCAGCTGGTACGACCTATCCTTGGAAATACCGCTGTCCAGCGGGGACATGGAGCGACATGACCAACCTGGTCAGTGTTGACCAGTGCTATACATGTCCCCAGGGTTATTACTGTAAGAAGGGGTCTTGGAAGGTCTGGGGGGAATGCTTCCCTGGACACTACTGCCCTGAAGGTAAATGACACTTTAATGAAAATTATTTATGGGTAATTTGCTTTGACTATTACATACTTTGACTATGAACATAGTTCATTAATTTTGGAATCATTAAAAATTTTATTTTGTAAAGCTTTTTGCTGCTTTTCCTGTATAGAATAGAACTATTGGGTAGCCTGCTGTTCAATTTTGTTGCTACCACTCAGTAGGAATGTTGATATTTTGATTTATGATATAGGTATGTTCACATTTTAAATTTATGATTTCAAAATTACATTATCTATAAAATCCCCCCTCCCCCATTGACATGATACAGTCATTGTCATGTACCAAGGAAGGGTTCCTCAGGATTTGTAAAATGCTGATTACCATTCCTGTCATGCAGGCATTTGCTTGTCTTTGTTCAAATGACAGAAACAGTATATCATTTAGACAATACCTTAGATGAGTGCTTGTTAATGTGGATGATTTTCCAAATCACCCTTTTTTCACAGGTACGCCGGCTGGTGACACCTATCCCTGTCCTAATGGGACTTACAGTAAGGACGGGACGCACTGCGCCTCCTGTCCCATGGGGCACTACTGCATGGAGAAGACGCACATTCCGGATCCTTGTGAACCGTGAGTTGATAGAGGCGTATTCACATGAGGGCAGTTTAGACAGGAAAATTTGGTCCAAAGTGTACAGTCGTACAACTATTGCTAGTGTGCAGGGAGAAGAACTGTTTTCAGAGAAAAAAAGATGAAAAAAGATAAATAAATCAGTAACTGTAAACCTCGGTAATCAAATACAGTTTCACATACAATATTGAATTGAATTCAAAGAAAAGAAGACAATAAGTGGTCTTAATTATAGGACTTTTACACTTTAGTTGACATAAAACTATAATAAATCTGCTGTTTTTACAGGGTATTGATTTTTCACATTCCAGAGGTTCCTATAACCCAAACTATGGTGGGAAGACCATTCTGGCCTGCTTGGACTGCCCAGCGGGTCATTACTGCCCAGATAATGGCACCTTCGTCCCCAAGGCTTGTGGAAAGGGGATGTTCTCTGAGGTCGGTTCGTACAACTGCACAGTCTGTCTGGCGGGTCACTACTGCGACAGCGCCACGACCTCGGCCACCGTCATGCTGACGTCACGCGTGTGTCCACCTGGTACCCAGTGTCCAGCCGGTCAGCAGCTGCCGCCAGATGTGTGGAACAAGTGTCCGAAGGGTCACTACTGTCCTGGGGCGGCTGTCCACCCTGAAGCTCTCCCCTGTCCTATTGGTGAGATAGTGAATTTATAAATGTTCTTGAAAAACTTGGTAGTGAAGGTATTATATAAGGACAAATGAAATGTAATACAATATTGAATAGAAAGTAAAGTTAATTAGAATAAAAAAATTTTTAATTTCTTTAAAAATTGAAAATAAAGGTATTATATTAGGATAAATTAATGCACAGACGTGATTCAATATTGAATAACAAGTGGAAATTTTTTTTTTAATGTAGCAGTTTCATATATTAGAAACTCCATAAAAATACTTCAGAATCTGTAAACTAATGGAAATGTTTGAGTGATTTAGCCTGATGATTATAACCAAGCTCTACTATCAATATAATCAATACATGTTACTTCCAGGTACATTTAACCCCGCCCTGGGTCTGGAGGCAGAGTCTCAGTGTGTGGTGTGTACAGAGGGTAGATACTGTGATGAGGAGGGGCTGGCGGCCGCCAAGGAATGTCCCGCTGGATATTACTGTGTTGAAGGTACAGCGTTCTCTGTTGTATATTGGCATTCATACAGGTTCTAAGTTAAATCAGTCCACCATTATTGATGTTATGTCTGCTGCTGCGTTCAGACAGGTTATAAGTTAAAAAACTTGTATCCAGGTGAGTTATAAATTCCTACAATCAAAGTGGAAGATATTATAAATAATGGGGAAAAAACTTATTTTATTTATTTTGTTTCTGGCGACACCTTTCCAGGCAGTATTTACGCCCAGCCCTGCCCCCTGGGGACTTTTAACGGCATTCCCGGCTCCACCAGTGACAGCTACTGCACCAAGTGTTCAGGAGGGAAATACTGCAACGAACTGGGACTGACAGCGCCATCTGGTGACTGTACTGCTGGGTTCTACTGCACGGAGGGTTCGACCACCGCCGCTCCAAATAACACCAGTACTAGTCACATGGGTGGTATATGCCCTGAAGGGAGTTACTGTCCCGCTGGATCCAGTGTCCCGACTCCCTGTCCCGGCGGGACATTCAGTAAAGCCACAGGTGGTAGAAGTGTCAATGACTGTCTGTCATGTGACCCTGGATACTACTGTATTGGCAGTGGCACCGCCACTGCCATGTTTGCGTGTACCAAAGGTTATTACTGTGACGGGGGTGCAACAAATGCAACCCAGCACACGACCCCGGCGGGTCATTTCTCAGGTCCCGGGTCCAGCAGTCCAGAACCCTGTCCTGTGGGACAGTACCAACCAGCCCCCAACTCGGACTCCTGTCTCCCCTGCCCCCCGGGCTTCTTCTGCAACAGCACAGCCACTGTGGAAGACACAAAAAACATCTGTCCCCTTGGACATTACTGTCCTGAAGGCAGCTCCCTGCCGACACCATGTCCTGCTGGATATTACCTCAATGACCTGAAGAGCTACCATCTGTCGGAGTGTACACCGTGTACTGAAGGTTTTGCATGCACTGAGAGCAGCCTGGCTCAACCAGTGGTGAAGTGTCACGCTGGACACTACTGCCAACAAGGAGCCGCCACATCCACTCCGGTCGGGGAGACATTTGGTGACCTCTGTCCAGCTGGTTATTTCTGCCCTGAGGGAACTGCATATTTCAGCCACCATCCCTGCCCTAATGGTACCTACAGCAGCGTCTCGGGAGGAAAGGAGGAGGCTGACTGTCTCCTCTGTCCCCCTGGTATGGTGTGCAGTGGGGCAGCACTAACGACACCTACAGGAAAGTGTGCACCAGGATACTATTGCATAGGGGGCAGCACCAATTCAAGACCTGATAATGTCACTACAGGGGATGTGTGCAAGATGGGCCACTATTGTCCTGAAGGCTCAGGTGAGTCTGATTCTATTTATATATATTCCACCAAGTGCTGTCATGTGGGGGTTGAAAAACTCCAATGAAGAGCTGGAAGGAAAAACTTTTAAGAATTATTAACAGAAGTGAAAATGGAACATTGGGGGTTTTGGTGTATGTTAAGCATTAGAACTGTGTCTGCATAATTAAGTTCCATTAGGACAGCAAATCCAGTCAAATAATTCCAATAATTATGTCACTGCCATGTATCCAGCTTGCTTCATGCCATTAATAGTAATTGCTTTGTATATTATTTAAGTAACCACCTAAATAGGCTCAATTTCTGTATAATATAAGAAAAATTCAGCTATATCTCTGCATCTAGTACCCCCCCCCCCCCCAAAGAAAAAAAAAGTCCTAGCAATACCATATAATTTCAGCAAAACCCCAGTACTAATTCTCCTTACAATAATATTATAATTCCAGCCACCTCTCAGCAGTGTCCCCCAGGGTCATTCTCCAACGTGACTGGTCTGTCCACCTGCTGGCCTTGTCCTGCTGGCTATTACTGTGAGCTGGACACTGGGGTGGAGGAATATACTGTCCCCAGGGTCTGTCTCCCTGGACATTACTGTCCTGAGGGTAGCGCTGTGGACATGCCAAAATGTCCTCCTGGGACTTATAGTGGCAGTCAGGGTAAGTTATAGATCATATGTTAAAAGTCTTGTTTGTGACAAGTATAGGTATTCTCATTGTTTGAAGGAATCGTGTAGTATACTAATAGTTTAGAAAATAAAAGGAGTGACATTTGGCTGTGACACTTCATATTTTGTAATTCACACAAACTAGAGGTCATGATGTAGCAAAGTTAAGAAAGTAAATTACAAATGGTTATCAAATAGTGCTCTGAGAGTGCAGTAAAGTGGTAGGGGCTGTCATAGTAACCTATTGCACATTCTGAAACTCAAATATAAAAGATTAATATCACTGTCAATCAGTACATGTACCCTGTTTATCATGGTCCAGGTTTAGCCAGTGTGGACGAGTGCACCCCGTGTCCAGGAGGATATTTCTGCTTCAAGTATGGTTCCACAGGGTACAATCCCACGGTGAATGTGTCTGAGTCTGGAGTGGGGATATGTGAAGAAGGGTACTACTGTAAATCTGGTAAGGTTTAACCTGTAGGTCAAGTAGCATGATAATTAGTACATTTCAGCAATAGTTCACTAATTTCAAACACTTCCCTTTTAGATAATCCAATTTGCAAAAACCCTAAATCAAATTTCAATTTATAGCACACCTTTTCTGGCCTACATATCTGTGTTAAAAAATCTTAAAATCATTCTTTTCTTTGTTCTTTGACCACCAGTTGACAGTCATTAAATTGTGAATGTTATTTAGTTTAAAACAATCTGTGTTCTGGTATCATCATTCATATGTCTTTGTTCTTACATAGGAGCAAGCAGTGGTACCCCCACCCCTGACACCAGTACTGGTCTGGCTGGTCCTTGCCCCACTGGTCACTACTGTCCAGTCCAGACTGAGGACCCGGTACCTTGCCCCAGTGGGACCTACAGGGACACCCCACTGGCCAGAGCTGTACTGGACTGTGTCCAGTGTTCCCTGGGGATGTACTGTGCCAGGACTAACCTCAGCCACCCCCAGGGACCCTGTGATCCTGGCTTCTACTGCTTATCAGGGAGCAATACCCCCTCTCCCACTGGGGACAACCCCACCCAGGGGGCACCTTGTCCTGTGGGTCACTACTGTCTGGCAGGCACCTCCACCCCCCTGAACTGCCCCGCGGGTACCTACAACAACCTGACTGGTCAAGGTGCTTGTTTGACCTGTCCAGCTGGGTTCTACTGTCCAGAGAATATAACATCCTATGAGGAATACTTGTGTCCTGTTGGTCACTATTGTCCCAATGGTACTGGCCATGCCTATGAGTACAAGTGCCCCAAGGGATACTTCAGGAATACTACAATGGGAGAGAAGTTATCAGACTGCTATCCATGTCCTGGGGGGTATTACTGTGAGGGAGAGGGGCTGACTGGACCTACTGGACTATGTGATGCAGGTAGGTTAACAGTGTACACACAAATATTTCAGTGGCATGTGCACTGCAGGTGTGTTTGTGCTTGTTTAGAGATTCAGTATTTTATTTCATGAAATAGAATTTAAAATGTAACTTGTTGTTCATCAAAACTCTCATGTACATTTTTTTTCTGTATTTTGACTTTCATTTTTAATGTAAAGTTTACCATAATCTTTTTAAAATAAATATGATTATTACACATACCACTGAATATAAAAGTATTGTCTTTCATCCCCAGGTTACTTCTGTATCCATGCCGCCTGGTCTGCCCACCCCTCAGACTACACCAACTATACCCTGGGGGACTGCCTCTGTCCCTCCACTGTGACAGGGGGAGAGTGCCAGCCGGGGTATTACTGTCCTCAGGGGTCCTGGGAACCCATCCCCTGCCCTGGGGGGATGTACTGTGCTGGGCCAGGTAAGTAAAAAACTGTGGGGGGGAGGGGGTATTAATATCCCCACGGGCACTGAGAACTAATGCTTTGCAATAAGGGAATTAATTGTGTTAATAATGAATAATGGTTTTAAACTTGCAATTATGCTGGCAAAACAAACTACTGATGAATTTGCGAGGCTACTGTCTTGCAAAGCTACTGTCTTGTCTTGCTTTGATATTATGAAACCTAATCTGTTGCTGAGAGAGAGAGAAAGAGATGGTCAAAAGATAACTTATAAAGAGGGTCACTTGAATGTTGTGGCTGCCATATCTGATCTCCTAAGTTCCTCAAATATAATCCCCTATTTCAGGTCTCTCTGAGGTCACAGGATCTTGTCAAGAAGGTAACTACTGTGTCCTGGCCGCCATGCGCCCCGATCCTGCAGATGGGGTGACAGGTGACACCTGCCCAACTGGATGCTACTGTCCAAACGGCACAAGTGTCCACCAGCCAAAGTGTCCAGTGGGGACATTCTCCAACAGGACGGGACTGACCGCTGTCGCTGAGTGTGAGCCTTGCCTGAGGGGTTACTATTGTGATGTGGAGGGACTGAGTTTTCCTGAGTCCTTGTGTGAACCAGGTAGGTGTCCTGTTTAGGATTTGACTTAATTCTGTGACTTGTGTCTTATGTAATGACTCCTCGGGTCATGAACACAGTGACAGTTTACCATATACATTGATAATCGTTCAGATCGACATGCCTTACATAAAATCATTCAGGTAAATCTTGATTTGAAGTAGTAGTAAATCTTGATTTGATAATGAAAATGTTTTGCTGTCAAACAGCCAGATCTTCCACAGGTCTTCTTTCCTTTTCCCCAGGCTACTACTGCCTCACAGGTCAGACCACCACTGACTTGTACCAGTGTACTCCTGGTCACTACTGTCCACTAGGGAGCTACGAGGAGCAGGAGTGTCCTAGTGGTCACTACCAGGATATGTATGGACAGAGCACCTGTCAGCTATGTAGAGCAGGTAGGGGGCAGTGGGGGGTTATAGCAGGAGTGTCCTAGTGGTCACTACCAGGATATGTATGGACAGGGCACCTGTCAGCTATGTAGAGCAGGTAGGGGGCAGTGGGGGGTTACAGCTGGACTGTCCTAGTGGTCACTACCAGGACCTGTATAGACAGGGCACCTGTCAGCTATGTAGAGCAGGTAGGGGGTAGTGGGGGGTTATAGCAGGAGTGTCCTAGTGGTCACTACCAGGATATGTATGGACAGGGCACCTGTCAGCTATGTAGAGCAGGTAGGGGGCAGTGGGGGGAGGGGGGGTCACAGCTGGACTGACTTGGGGTTGATCAGATGATATCACGGATGAAACGTCTTCTTATTACTAGGGTGGTTCAATGGGTACCTAAATTTTATGTTGATGTCAGCTTAATAGGCTCTTTCTGCATGCATTGTCTTACAGTGCTGGTTTGAGCAAAGATTTGTCCAGTTTTAAATATCGTCAAATCTGCGGTCACCCCTTTGGCATTTTTCAATCTTGTCCAGATTTTAATTTAAACGTACATTACCAAAAGCTTGTCTTGTTCCAGGCTACTACTGTGATGCCACCTATGATCCAGTGACCAGTATTATCAACTCGTCCTGTCCAATAGGTTACTACTGCGTTAATGGCACTGCGTGGAGTACGCAGTACCCATGTCCTCTGGGGACATACAGCCAAAATCCTAACCTGGAGGCGGCAGACCAGTGCCTGTCATGTGACCCAGGCAGGTACTGTGGAACTCTGGGAAGGAATGAAACGGAAGGTAAATAAGGTGGACAGAATTCATACCTCTCTGACATTATCACAGTGGAACTTAGGGGAAGGAAATAATGGAAAATTAGGAATATGACCATTTTTGGAGGGCTTTGTTTGAATTATTTATAAATAACACACCACTTTGACAAGGAAAGGTTCTGCTGATATGTTTGAGAAGAAAAATAAGCATCATAGATTAACTAATTTTGCCTATTTGTCACTTATCAACTTATATTGATTGTAATATTTTCAAATTAAAATTTAAAAATTTAACCTCTCTCCCATATTCAAGGTGAATGCAGTGAAGGCTTCTGGTGTAAATCAGGCGCCATCTCTCCAACACCAACAGATGGCAGCAAGGGGATGATCTGCCCTAGAGGTCACTACTGTCCAAGAGGCACCCCATTCCCAGTCCCATGTCCCCTGGGCTACTGGTCTAACACCACTGGTCAGTCCACCCCAGAGACCTGCCAGCCCTGCCCTGGGGGTCATTACTGTGACCAACCTGGGCTGGGTGACCCCTCCGGTCAGTGTGACCCTGGCTACTTCTGCCTGTCCCGAGCCACCTCAGCCAAGCCAAGTGAAGGGGTCCTGATTGGGGATATTTGTCCCCCAGGACACTACTGTCCCGAGGCCGGGACGGTCACCCCCATCCCGTGTCCCATTGGGCACTATGCGTCCAGTAATGGGACAGTGAAGTGTGAGGTGTGTCCAGTAGGACACTACTGTATTGATGGTGTGGAGCCAGTGACCTGTCCACCCAGGTTTTACTGTGCTATTGGGACTGGGTATGTGCACCGCTCCTGTGCTAACTGTAAGTACTATATACATGGGAATATTGTATTGAAAATTGGACAAATGTATGACGTTCATCAGAAAAGATTACAAATATGGTCTAAAGTTGATTGATAACTAAGTTAAGCTTAATTAGAAATAAGAAATGGTTCGATCAGTGCTTAAGAGTTGAACTATACAACTGTAAGTATAAATGCATGGGAATGTGATAAAAATTGGATGTAAATTTGACCTTTAAAGAAGAGATTACAAATATGTTCTAAAGTTGACTAATAGGTGGGTCAAGCTTAATTTGAAATGAGAACAACGTCAGTACCCACAAAAGTTTGTGAAACACAACAACGCAGCAACTCATTTTGTACCTTAACTTTTTACACCACTGATCACAACAATATAGTCCATTGAATTTGAAATGAAATTTACCTGTATGTCAATTTATGTCCAATTTTATATAAACAAAATGTTTAGTGGAGGGGAAATTTTGCTACAAATGAGAAGACAGACTTGAAAGGACCTTTCTGTGTACCACTGTATTGTGTTCCAGATATAGAAGAATGTGTGATAGGGAACAGTAACTGTATAGACATTTCTATATACAGCTATATATTGTGTTCCAGATATAGAAGAATGTGTGATAGGGAGCAGTAACTGTATAGACATTTCTATATACAGCTATATATTGTGTTCCAGATATAGAAGAATGTGTGATAGGGAGCAGTAACTGTATAGACAGCAATGCTCAGTGTGTTGGCAGTGGGGAGGACTTCACCTGTACATGTAAAACTGGTTATACTGGAGATGGGTTTGCTTGTATTGGTAGGTAGAATATGCTGTCACAACCAACACACTAACACACTGTCAATGTTAACACACTGTCACAACTAACACTGTTATACTTGCTACACAGTGTCATACCCAACACATTGTAACAGCTAACAAATGGTCACAGTAATAACACTGTCAAATCTAACATTATGTAAACACCTAACTGAAAATCTTGGCTTTTACACTATCACATCTGATACAATGCTGCACACTGTCTCATCAAACACACCCTCATATCTAACACACTTTTACATGTAACACTGCCACCATTAAAAAAATGGATAATGTTTTACTTTACAAAATCATTCCATTTAAAACAATCATAAATGATTATTTTCTATAAAACCCTTTAAGTCATAACCAGGTATAATCATGTATAAACCATGCCAGTATTTTCTCCTCTCCAGACATCGATGAGTGTTTGGTGAACCACGGAGGCTGTCACGCAGATGCAGACTGTATCAACCTACTCAGCAACCATTCCTGTGTATGTCACACTGGATACTCCGGAGACGGGTATAATTGTGAAGGTAGCACAAAATTGACAGTCACAGGCATCTTAAAAGGACACAAAAGAGGATTAT